GATTGAGTGTTGTTTAACGTCCCTGTCGATGATTGATTTAATATTGCTGTTTTACGCTTTTTTGTGGACATAAATTTACTTTGTACTGTTTTCCGTGATGTAACCTCAGGTCCGTCACAGTTGAACACCAACGAATGAAAATGAGATTAAGCTCTGCCCATTCTGTGACGTAAGCGGTCCAACATCTCATCGACCGGTCCAACATTAAAAAAAGATTAGTTTATCTGGAAATTTTCGGGACATGTAATCTGAAATACTTGATTGTATCATTGTTGCGGTGTTCTTTGAAGACTATTGTGTTTTTATTTCTGATACATCATGGCTAAATGTGATCTAACAAGCATGCTCGATCAAGACAGAGCACGCCAGGGTGATGATGAAACAATTCTAATAAATGACTTATGACCTTACAACGAATAATTAGGAAAAAAGTAAATACACAGTCGTGTAAACATATTGAAGGAATACCTTCCCTGACATAAAAAATAATCTTGCACGTCGATTTTTAAATCCAAAATGGAATTCATACAGCGCTTTTTTAAATGAATGTTTCTAACTCTCATAAACTTGAAGCGTAACAAAGCACACACATTGAACTACAGGAAATGAGGTGAATATTCCGAGCCGTCTTGTTTTATTTAAGAAATGAATTTAATTTTTGAAGATTCATGAGGTTATGAACTACGACGCTTCACGCCGGCATATTTCATGAAGCGCGTTAGCGCTTCATGATAAATATGCCGGCGTGAAGCGTTGTAGTTCATATACCTCATGAATCTTCAAAAAATTAAATTCATTTCTTATATTTACATTATATTTCTGATGACTTGCCATAAATTTACGCCATTCAATTGTCGTCTTTAAAACAAAACAGTGTGCACTATATTTTTTGGCGTCAAGAGTGGTATTATGATGTAACAATAGAGATATTCATGCTTATTCGTTGTTCATACCTAATGTAGTTCATGAGAAAATGAACTGCATTTTTTTTTAAAGAATCATAGGGGAAATTTATTGGAAATGTAAATATTGAATTTAATATTCCAACACAAATCGACACATCCAGTAATTTAGAGAATTGCTGTACATCTTGGTAAAAAAATTTCCCCTGCGGTATTCCTTGAACGTTCAAATTGCCCGTTTGGTATTTTACGAGCATTAAGATTAAGTGAAATAAAGAATTTTTATTCATAATTTCAGTTGCACCGAAAATTGCAATAGCGTAAAATCACAACCGTCATCCATGGCGTTCAGACTTTTGAATGGGCGAGGTAGTTCTTAAGTTTAAGAAATACAGCGCGCTAAACTTTTCGAATCACGTGCTCCTTTTTCATTGGTCATATAAAATTGTATGATGAAATTTTTACAGATCATGGCTAACTCAGTGCGTGAGAATACTGTTGAACTACGTGCTATTAACGTAAAAGGGATAGTTCATGGGTAACTCAATTCTTGGGAACAATGATACAAAACATATAGAGTACCTTTTAACTCGTGCATCTTCAGATATCAGACTCGGGGGACAAGCCCTCACGTCTGATATCTGAAGATACACTCTTTAAAAGGTACTCTATATGTACTGAAATTTTTGTGTAAAAGTGGGTCAAACTTCAAGGTCAAGGTCAAAAGGTCAACTTTGGCGGAACCCAAAGCAAGGTCTTGTCACAGGGAATACACATGTGAAATATGAAAGTCATAGCTCCACTAAATCAAAAGTAATGGGAAAGGTTCAAGTTTTTGTGACGGACAGACGAATGAGATTTAATGTCCCCTCACTTTCGCGAAAGCGAGGGACAATAAGTGAAACAAAATAAACTGATTTCCAATCCCTTTTGATATATCATCTATTTTTGCACAGTGTTCGATTAATAATCATTAATAGATATCGGAGATAAATTGAGAAGTGAATTGAAAAACTGGTGTCGATCTGATGTTTGCCAAAGCGAATTAAACAACAATAAAGGACACGAGTGTAAAGAAACAGAAAACAATACTGGGTGTCTCATAAGGTCGATTTGCCTATCTGAAAATGCTTACTGTAAATATGGTGCAAGTTGTGAAATTAAAGTATTAGGAAATTCATATCAGCCCGCCTGCAGGTACTGATTTACTCATATATCGTTTTAACCATCTTAATTTTAAGGTGAGATGCAGAAGAAATTGTTTCATTTAATGTTCTAATTAGGGAATGTAATCTTTTTTCAATTAAGAATTGATTCAAATCATAGTCACTGCATATATTTAAAGTAGAATATAATAGAATCTGATATATTTTATTTAAATTGACGTTTTATTTTTCAGCGCCAAAACGACAGTTTATCATTTTACATTTACCAATATTTCAGCAGGGTAATCTTTATAAAAATAATTTTTAATTTCATATAACAGATGCGAGGACACCACGTTTTTCACATTTACAGGATTACATTGTGAGAAGAAGTCTCTCAAACTAGATATAGCTCTTTACATTGCCGGATTTATCAGTTCTGCTATCGTTATTACTTTTGTTGTGATCATTCTGCTAATGAGGAGATCTGGACTTAAGTAAGAGTATAATAATTTTTACCTCATAATATGAATTATAGTAGATTTTAATCAATTCAATGCATATCGTTTCTTTTGAATATGTGTCTTGCGTAATTATATTAAACCCTAATTTCCAATTGAAAGGAAATCTGTTCAGAGAGAACCTTTAATATTGAACTCTCCAGAGGATGATCGTAAGAAGGTTAAAGATTTACAGGTACATGTGTACTTATCTACTGCATTTTTATAAGACATGTAACATGAAATAACTTACAATATGACATTAATTTGTTCTTATACAGTCCTTATTATTAAGCTTAATTATATGAAAAAGCACTTTAAAATTTAAGAATGTAGGCCTACAAAGCAAAACTTTACGTTTTCTTCGGCAGAGCTTTGACAATCAGTCCTATGACAGAGACTATGAGAGTAACTGGGACATAGAGAAAAGTGCTCACACTTATGATTATATAGACACTAAGCTTAGTGAAGTCAACTACAGCATGCAGGTATACCATTCAGTAAAAAAATTGTATTTTATGAATGACTTAATATTGGTTGTATTTTAAATAGATATTACTTTTTTTGCTTTCTAGATCAAACGTCCAAAGTTGGTCAACACTTATTACTAAGTAAGTTTTTGGTTGATTTCTTTATATAGTTCTTACATATATGTCATACACACCAAGTTACCGCATTCCTAATTTTTTTTCTTCTGTTTTTAGATGAAAGACTTTTGTCCAGTTGCTAATCAAGATAATATATGCAATTGCGTGGAATATGGTTATATACAATCATTATTATTGCTTTATCGTATCAATCGGTAGAAACAATGCCTATGCTAGAAATGTTATAACCTTGTGTTTTATGAATATTAAGGTATTTCAAATTATCATATATATATTTGGTATGCAAGAACACATTTTAAAATACTATAGTAATAACGATTCTTTGATTCTTTTCTACTTGATGCAAAATAGATAAAAAAAAAAAATATACAAATCAATAAGGACCAAGATCATGATTGCAGTGCTTGTATATAAAATAAAAACTGAGATAATTTATGAATTGGGTTTCCTGGAAAAACAACAACGATGGATACAGCCAATTCAGTTTCCATAAAACAATACAAAATAGAAGCAGAGCAAACACGAACCTCCAAAACATCAGAGGTGGGATCAGATGTCACTTTTAAATCTTTCTAAACATTCACTATAATAAAGAAATCATGTTTACGTACGAATGCCTATTGTATTGTATTGTATTGTATTGTATTGTATTGTATTGTATTGTATTGTATTGTCAGAGTTAATAAATGTTTATCTTACTTTTTTCTGTAATTGCAACTATATCTGTTTTTGTCAAATACAAAATCTACTCCACTGCTTCTCAAATTATTTGAGGTTTATTCAATATCTAAACTTTCTTTAAAAATTAGTTATCGCAAACAGGAATTTAGTTCCATATTTTAACAACCACCAAGTTCGTGCACTCTGCGTCACTTAAAAGTTTACGACGTAATTTCTTCAATTGATCTAATTACATCAGATGATGAGTTCTGTGCACAATTCTTTGAAAAAGTGTTGTTTTGTCAGTGTTTTTTTTATTCTCAAGTTGCTATCTACAAGAGTTTAAGATCAATTACAGTTCGTTAACTTCAGAAGATTAAGGCTTAATTTATTTTAGAACGTTGCCATCGTTAAGTGTCTAAATGATGCTGCAAATATCATTCAAGTACAAGCTATCCAAATGCACGTCTTAACAGTAAAGAAATACAAATTCATTGAATACAGTTGCACAGGGACCAGTTAACAATGGCATTCCGAAGAAGAAATATATGTTCTGTGCTTATTTTTTAAGACATTTCACATCGCATTTCACATTTCACATCGCATGCCAAATGAAAATTAGAGTGAGTTTTTAACTGCAATTTTCTGTTACACAAAGGTGGTGTCGTTGTACAAGGATCACATGACAAGAGAGAAATCAGTTATATTGAGTTTTTACTGAAATAACTGTTTCCGACCAAGTTTGTGTCTTCATAATTTTGAACAATTTTTCTCGATGTCATTATCATCTTTTCAACATTTAAAATATCTTTTTTAAAAAATGCAATGTCAAAAATTATGTGAAATTAAACAAATGTTAACAAATAAAAGTTTCATGACTATATAATGAGGCAGTTTTCTCAAACAAGACACGCGTAAGAGGAGACCACGTGGAGGCTGGAGAAGACAACAGATCGATAAACGAAGGCTTACCTGTAAGTTATTGATCCAGCACAGACGCAGTAAATTAGAGGCAGGAGCCAGGTGAACACATACAGAAGGCACTGTTACGACGGATGTTCTGATCTCATTTAATGATAGGACATCCATTACTAAACCAGTACCTTAGTACAGCAGTAACAGAGTTCTAACTGAATATAGAAGATCTTATCATTAGATGTAAAAATCAACCTCATCATGGTGATCTAACCGTATCTCTGCTGAAATGAAAGATGTGGAACTTAAATTACTGTGGTTTACTTTAGGCTGTTTTTCGAATTACTAGAAATTCAAACTTTCGGGTAAGTATATCAACTTTTACATTAACCATTACTTTATAATGGTCCATATGATTTGTCGTTTTTGTTGAATTTCATGACCATATCCTTGTTAAGATTGAAAACAAGAAGAATTATGAAGAACCTTCTTTGGTTTTGTAACTAATTTCACAAGTGAAAGGAATTCGTATTCGCTGTAAAATACCTGTTTAATCTAATACCATTGAAAAGGTAAAATGCAAAAAATACATTGATGAATATCAATTAGAATAATTTACGCATTTCATTGATTTTTCTCTTTATTTGTTTTGATACCACCCGTAAACTGATGATAGGTGAGCCGCTGTTTAATTTTTGCCTGTACTATCATAATTTATTCGTTACTTATTTTCATTGCAGTGATTACAAGTTCTGATATAATATAAATAGTAAAAATCATTGTACCATTTAGTTCAGATTCTCGTCCATTTGTTGCATTATGAAATTGTTAATGATATAATATATATTACATGTTTTATAGTAAATGATTCTTTGTAAGTGCGTATTTAATTATTCAAAATAAAATAAAATAAAATATTAATCCTATAGGTTATCAATAAATATTCAACATGTGCAATAATAACAAGACCAAACATTTCGGTCGGATTGCAGTTTTGCAATCATTTCATTGTAGTAAAAATTCTAGTATATAAAAAAGTTACAAAGTTAGTCTTAGTAATGTTCTATATAAAAAGAGACATAGCTATCTATGAATTTTTTGTAGATAGTCATAAAAGATTAGGATGAATTTTGAATTAAAATTTACATTGTACAATATATCGTGAGTTTTTGTAAGTCACTATAACCTTGATGTCAAACAATAAATTTTGTGTTCTAAACCATAATCAATGATACTGCGAAACATCTGTTGTATTGTGTGAGGGAGAAATGCGGGTGTATGCTTAGGGTTCATCTGCTATAAAGAACACAAAAGTATTGACTGAAATCCAGGTACAGATTTTAAAGTCTTTATTCATATTTCTGAATAATTTAATTCTGGTTGTAACGCTGTATTTGATTGGATAAAAAAATTACTTTATATCGTATAAAATGGGTTGCCTACGTCACAATGACTTGCGTCAAAAACGTATCAATCCGCCTGACGTTACATTCAAATATTGTACAAATTGAAGTCATTTTGTTAGAATACTCATCTTTTTTTCTTACATCAAATGAATGAAAATTAAATTATAAGCAATGTGTTAAAAGCTGCCCATTTTATACGGTATAAACTGGGTTGGAACAATTACGCTTTTTTATAAACCGCTTCACGGTTTATAAAGCGTATACTGCCCCAACCCAGTTTATACCGTATAAAATGGGTAGCTATTAAATTCATTCCTTGAATAATTTAATTTTACTTGTAACACGTCATTTGATTGGATAAAAGAATTTATCCATTTTGTATAACATAACTTGCCTACGTCACAGTGAGTTTCGTCAACAAACGTATTACTCCTGCTTGGCGTTACTTTTAAAATTTAATCAATGTGAAGCCTTATTCTGGGGGGGGGGGGGGAATTGTCTCATTGTCTGCACTGAAATTAAATTATTTTAATTATTTTAACGCGTTTCATAAGAGTAGTAACTGCCCCAATTTATGTTATATCGTATAATACAAGTTGAAATATTCTTCATTCCTTAAGTAATATTTATGTTTACAGCATTTTTGATTAAATTTCTTCAGTTTTTGAGTAATTCGTGGCATTAGTTTTGAATTATTATTACTTTTACTTACAGTACATTACCATTTCCCTCACAAGCATTTTATCTCTCAATATTAATCAAAGCATGTTTTTGTCTTTTTCTTCATACTGATCTTTTACATTTTTTTCAGAATGTTTTCCACACAACGACCTTCTAATTTAATTTACTTAAGTAAGTATAGACATATTCACGAATTCAGTTTATAATTAAATTAAGGACTCACTGTCTGGTTAGCAGAATATGCCAGGGCATCACCGATAGTTTGAAACGTGGAATTATTTGCATAGCGAGCGAAGCCCTTTATGCAGAAATTATCCCATATTTCCAATTATCGTTCATGTCTCTGGCATACTCCACTACCTAGACAATATGATTCCATATATTTTCATTTCATTGTGATAAATTTTGAAAATGTAGTCTAAAAGATGTTAATTACACGAGGCCTCCCATGTCAATTTCAATAGTCCCCGCCCAATGACGTAAAACACAAAGACGACTGCACGAGATTTGCATGCGTATTACAAGCCTACTTAGCGTAAGACACTCCGACAGACGCACGAGATTTACCAGCACATTAGGCATCCTTGGCTCTTGACCTATTTCTTGACGAAATTTACATGCCGGAGGATTAATCAGTCTTCTAACTTTCAACGAGTTATCATAGAGAAAACAGGTAGAAATAAAAATATGTTCATATCATAAAAAATTGATCTAAAGGTAATTTATACACTTTTCAGTAGCAGTTTTAATTGTTGTCAGAAGAACTGCATCAATAACAACAGAAACTCCAACTACAACTACAAGTACAGAAAATGAAACAACTGTAAGTACAACCAGTGAAATAACAACAGTTATGTCCTCAACCTCCACAAGTGATGCTACAATGACATCGACCGAGACAGAAACTGCCGAGACGACAACTGAGGCTTCAGATGGAACGACACAATCAACAAGTTACCAAACTATAACAACAATAACAACAGCAACTGGTGATAAAAATGATACTGGAGTGACACAGGATGCTACAACAGTACCTATCGGCACAGAAACATCACAGACACAAGAAACAACTGTAATAAGTATCATCACAACAACTGAAGAAACAGAAACAACCTCCAGTGATCCAACGACATCTTCACCTCATAGTACAAGTGAAATATCAACAGACGAAACAACTCTTGACAGCACAACTTTTGAAACGACACAACCATCTAATGAAATAACCACAACATCTGATAATACAACAACAAGTGCGCCAGACACAACAACTGCACAGCCCAGCACGACTGAGGAACAAGGTACCACAGAGATAACAAATCAAACCACAACCTCGACCGATAGTGTCGACAGTACAACTGAAATGACATCAACTCTTGAATCAACCACTCAGCCGATTGTAACAACAACAAAGAAAAATCATATTGAGGCTATCTATCCAAGCATTGGTGAGTTCATTTTATATCTGACACGAAATCTCTGTGCTCTAAATTTACTTTTCAAGCAATAGCTAAAACATTTAAAACATACAGTATTTAAAAGTAACATGACAACATAACATAACATGGTATTTCATTATCAACGGATTCTACATTATTTGTGGGATTATGGTTCTGTCTCTTTTTATGGATTTCATTTTATGCCATAATGGTTGTCCTTTCAAAACTACTATTTGTAACATTTTTTCTTAGAAAACGCTGTGCTGGATTTTACATATAGGCTACAATTTAAAGACTGTTCATACAATAAAACATCAATAGAGAAAGAGGTAAGATGTGCGGTACTTATAGTAAAATCGAGGAAATATGTGACAAAATCTGCAATACTGGTGATTATTTTTCCTTATAATTATTGTTTATAATTTGGTTACGTTTTAAGTTTGAATTGTATAATATTTTGTTGTTGACAACAATAAGGAAAGAAACAGATCTGTAAAATTCTTGTCTTATGCGAATACTTCGCTAATCAAAGCTATCCATGCTGTTTTTAAAGACTGATAACTATGGAATCATATTAAGTTATTAGAATCAATGTTCGTTGGCAGTAATATTCAATGAGTATAAAATGTTTAGAAAATGAATTAGTGTTCGTTGTAATTTCGTGGGTGAGAGGGATTCACGAAATCCACAAACATTTGTCGCTCACGAACAATGATGATTCCATAGTATACAATACAAACAAAATATTGTAACTTTTAATGTTGCAAGGTTTTGTTTATATCCATTCAAAAATATATCTTAGTGATATAAATTTGTCATTTCTATAACAACACCTCTAATTTAGCTTGCAGTTGTTACAAGTACTGTGTATGGATGCGAGTACATCAGAGTAAGAAGCATAAAAAGGTATCAATTCCGATAACAGCCATTAAAAAATAAAACGTGAAAAAGATTGTAAATACAATTTGCATATTTAACAGCATATATTTTTTTTTCGGTTTAACCCTTTTCCGAGAAGGAACTATGATTTAAGCCTATAGCTTATTGTCATAGTGACACTTGAAAAGTGTTTTCAAACAGTAAAACATGTTGTAAATTAATTTATCTCTGAACATTTCAAATTGTTACTGATCAATACATTTTGCAGCTGTGTCTCTGGGCGGAATAAAAGGTAAGATTTCTGACTAATCTATTTACATCATTATCTTTCAATGAATGCCTTGCCCAACGTGTCCAGAAACTATTAAGTACTTTTTGGTCATCGGGAAATTAATAGGTCACTGTAACAATCCAAATCACACAGGAGTTTCTAATGTAATTTGTATTAGTTTTCCATTCATCGTAGCATTAGTTTCTTTGAATTTAAAACTATATGGTGTTCATAAAGCTACGTTATTAAAAGATTTTTAAAAAACGGAATTGTCAGCCAAAAAAGGAACAAATACATGGCGAAGTGAATTCTTCTAAATGTGCTCCGAAAAGGCTTCTAGATTGAAAACCATAATTCTGTCATTTGGATCACACAATCCTATAATTCAAACAGAAAGATTTTTTTTTATTATTTTATCGATTAATGTTCTTCCACAAGTTCTAGATTATTTTTTTTTACTTAAAACCGACTTTCAAAGTCTAGGATTTAAAAATTTATCATGTTATATTCAGTTTTTCTCCAAGTTTTCCCAGTGGAATTTTTAAAGATAGTGATATAAAAGGCAAATTTTAGGCATCAGTTATTACATGTATTAGCGAATGTGTATGTAGTTCACTAGATTTCGTATCGTAAATTTTGATTCAGTAGTTGCCACGCGGTAAAATTTACAATATGGATATCAGATTAACGTGTTGCTATTTTTTCTAGCTAGATATACTGTAGTTCTTTAACTTTAAATTAGCGAAACTTAATATTTAGGTCTTTTTCTATACTATTTTGATATTTGTTAAATTTCTAAGTCAATTTCTCAGGATTGACAATAAATCTGCGATTTTTGTACTTTGATACACAATCTTGCATAAACAGAATGGTGTCATGAATTATTTCCATTAATATCCAATTTCCCTAAAGATATGTCAAAATAAAATAAATAGATAAATAAATGCCATATCTTTGTCTGAATTATATTTTCTATCACGAAATATTATTTTTTCTAGGTCAACAACAGATACATATGTTTCAGTTGACACTACGTTCGGCATTGATGCAGAGATCGGAGTAGTAAATGGTTCAGGTGTATCCATTGAATTGTACACTGTCTTATTAAATATACCTGGAATTGATGAAGCTTATCTAAATAATTCAAGAAATAATTTTAGTGGTAAGAATATCTCATATGTTAAGATATTTTAATATGCTTTTCATGAAAGTTACAATATTAACCAATGCTACAGTTACAATTCTCTTTAGTATCTAATAAAATAAAGATAATATTGCAGACGCGTTGACGTCACAGTCTATATGTGACGCCGATTCCTGTAGGAGTGCGCTGATTGGTCGACCAGGATATATATGCGTCAAAGAGAATATCAACAACACGCAGAGATGTGCAATAATGTATTTCTGTTACAGTCGTCCTATTGACTGTGGGGGAAATGGAGAATGCTACGTGGAAACTGAGATTCGCTCTGGACAAACCTCCTACATTTCTAAATGCAGGTGTGATGCGATTGATTTAAATGGATTTCCTTCCATTGTTTTCTCTTGATAAGAGCCATCTGTTGCTTGTGAATTGTTTGTATCTGAAACAGATTCGTGATAGGGAACACGAAAAGAAACAATATAATTTTAAAAAAAAGTATCACATCCCTTGCGTATATATGATTCATTGTTACACAATATCTTTAAATAAAACTTTCTTATTCAAAGACGCGTTCCATTTAAATAAAATATTACCAGCGTATACTTTAATAATTGACTGAGCATTTTTTTAAATATACTATTATAGTATAAAAATGATTTTTCATTCATCGTTTTTAAGCATCAATTTATTACCGGTATTTGTATTGTTTTTAACAGTCTTTTTACTATATATATAACATTTTTAGATGTAAAACAGAAGAGTACTATAGGTATGAAGGCACAAACTGTGCAGACAGAGTGATCACATGGCAACTGGCTGTTATAATCTGTATTTCCGGTGCTGCAGCACTAGTTCTCATTCTTCTGTTCGTCATCATATCCCTCTGTTGTAGAAACTCCTCAAACTCTGCTGACGTGTACGTATATTCATGGATTTTCATTTGCCAAATTATTCTTCGACATTTATTATGTAGTAGAAAATGATATTATAGATAGATAGACACACATTTAAATTACAAATTTTAATCTTGGATTAATAAAAAATACTTAATTTTTAAAGGCACGTACCTTTTCCTCAAATAGGGAAAGTATCGATCGAAAAATCGATCAGACTTGATACACTTCTTTTTTAAATTTAGAATAAAGAAAATTTGTTTTTCTTAGGAGCTTTGATGAGTCTGAATTGATATACAGTCCATCAGGGATAACCAGCGTTAATCAATATAAAAACGGAAGATCCAGAGATTCTTCTAAGGTAGAATAATGAATTTATTATGCCTTATTACTTAATCAATAAACCTACAGAATAAAAAATGCGTCATTTCTTTCGGAATTTTTAGGTCGAAATAAAATACCATAAGTTAATGTGTAGTAAAATATCCTCAAATAAATGGTTATGATTACAATAACACATTCTGAGAGTAATTTTGTGTGAGAAACCGTTTTTGTGTTTACTAGTATTTGATTTTATGTCATTAATTTAACATTAACTAAATTACACTACGTTTAGGGGATACAGAATGGGTCTTACATGGAGGTCGGAGAAACCTCAGCAGGTGGGAGCTGGAGACCCGAGGACAGTGCTAACACGTACGCTAATATAGATTCCAAGTTACGAGAATCTAATTATAAAATACAGGTAACACCTGCGTGTCTGAAACAAATGTAACGAAAAACGGAAATAAAATCATAATCCACAGGTAATTTATCGAGCGAAAGAATAAAAACGAGAAAAAAAAGTAATAATCCAGAGTTAATTCTCTATCAAAAGAGTGAAACTTATGAGATAACGAACAGTATTCAAGATCAAAAGTCCATAAAACAATACAAAATAGGAGCAAAGCAAACATGGATCTCCAAAACATCAGAGTTGTGATAAGGTGCCATGGTGGAGTGAGCATCTGCCGACCAGTCACACCCGCCGTGCACTCCTTGCAATGATTGGAAATAACGGAAAATCCGTCGTCAATTCAGTGTATAAATAATGGACTAACAATTAGTATGATTACAGAATAAAATCATAATTTACTTGTACTACATCAGAATTTCCATTGAATAGTAAAAACTGCATTTATGGTATGTACTGTCTTCACACATTTTTTTATACATAAAAATAGAAAACTTAGTGTCATAATTTGTTTTTTAAAAATTTGTGGGAAGACAATAGCATTGCCCAAATTCATCAAACCTTTAAGGTCTGTATAATTTTGTCCTAAGCCCCTGCACCCTACACCTTTCACACAGCATGCTTTCTTTATGCATTTGAAAGTACTTATTTATCCTGTATACTTAAACAAAGCTTTAGCATTTGACATCATTCCAATGTTTGTCTTACTCGTGAAAACTAGTAACTAGTAAGTTAATAATTAGATTTTATAGAAGTTTCATTCAATAATGTTAAAATCACTATGATAAACTGAATAATACTAAATCTTGTTTATGCATCAAGATGATTTTACTTTATCAGCTGAACATATCTGCATTTACCGGTCAATGTCCTTCATCTGAAAACAGAGAAATTAATTAAGCCATTACCTTAATGATATTCTACGGCATGATGAAAAGCTCAGACGTGTTTAATACTTCAAAGCTATTGAAAGTTGCAATACTTTTAGCTCATTAAAGAAAATTAAATTGTGTTTAGAACGAATATGGTACATAATTACTTGCTTGCAAATATAAAATAATGATTGTGTCTATTTATAACTTAAGGTAGCTCTTATATGTAAGACGAAGAGACAAAATACATTACAATATTTTTTTTAAATATAAGCTTGTACCTGACGCTGGTACCTTCAAGGTATTTTAAATCCGCCTGTCACATTTATCAATAAAATTGTCAACAAATATAACTTTCCATTGATTAATATTTAAAATTTTGGGTTTCTGAGAATTATTTAGAATTTTTCTATATTTTACAGATAAAAAGACCGCAAGTTTCGCAGTATCGAAAGTCAGATGAAGTGAGTATTAAAATACAAAATTCTATGAGCCAGAACACTTACCTGTATTTGTGTTGCTTTATTGAAATTTGTGGTGCTTCTTGTTGTTGTTGAAATCCATTGCATTCTATGCAACTTTCATTTATCTTTTTTTTTTAACAATTGTATACCTAATTCATTCGGGATATTACAATTATTATATCATATAGAACTGAATGTTCACTACATGCAGATGTGTACACATCACTTATTATACCCAACGCCCGTCCGGCAGTGGGTCAGTCAGTGTGTCAGTCAGTCAGTCAGTCCGTCGGTCAGATATTTAGGATACAATGTGTAGATGTGCATATTACCAGGAAATTACGATTCTATTATTTTTTCCGGGATATTTGGCACTTTTCAACTAAGATTTTTGGCCATATCTTGATTATAGATATGGACAGTTTGTCAGCACAACTCCTCTTAAACCACTGCACAGAATTTCGTCAAACTTTGCAGATATTTAGGACACAATATGTAGATGGGCATATTACCAGGAAATTCCGATTCCATATTTTTCGGGGATTTTCGTCACTTTTTAACTTAGATTTTTGGCCATACCTTGAATATAGAGATGAACAGTTTGTCAGCGCAACTCCTCTTAAACCGCTGCACAGAATTTCGTCAAACTTTGCAGATATTTAGGAGACAATGTGTAGACATATTACCAGGAAATTCCGATATATATTGGGGGAACCTGGGGTATGTGAGCTTGCTCACTTTTTCTTTATTTGGCTTTCTGCAAATCAGTAAACCTCAACTGATGATGCCCAAGCCTAGGTCGACAAGGCATGTTTTGAACGTTTGAAATTGCATTATATTGGGGTATACATTTTAGGAAAACTGACTGGCCAATGATGGAGCATCACAAGACGGTTGTAATATATATTTTTGTGATCGAACATATGGATAATTTTCTTTTCAAAACAAAATACTCGTTTTTCGCGCAATAGTTTTATGTTCAGATGTTTGTCAGTGCTTACTTACCTTTTTTTTTACTGCAGAAAGGTCAATATTTATGACACAGGAGTACGAAAATAAAAGAAAACGTCATATTTTTCGTTTATTTTATCATAAAGGTCTATTTTTTTCTTTGTTAAAATAAAGAGATGAATCATTTCTTTCAAAATATATGAATTACAACATATTCACACAAAGACTTTTTAAGATATCACCTATTATGCATGTCGGAATTGTAAAAAAGACGACAAGAAAAACGGGGTGATACTTACATTGTGCTCCATTGTAATTTCTCATGCGAGATAATTTACAGTGAATTTGCCTTCATTTTAAAGATACAAGTCATATAAATTAAATACCTATTGATTTTGAATGTGATTTGAATTTTTCTTTTTAGCACATATTTGGGGTAGAACAATAATGTATGAAAATAATCTATTTTTAGCATTTCACACTGTTTTTGCACGTGCTCCTGTATAAAAATAAGCATATAAAGGTATTGTTTTTAATACCTAAAAATTAAGAGCAAGTGGTCAGGAAAGAAATGTCAAAGTTTTGAAAATTTCACACAAAGACTTTTCGGACATAGGTCCCCCCTTAAATGCTGCTTAAATGCCAAATTGCGTATTTTGGGACCTTTTTTTAAATGTTAAATTGTAATTTGAATTAACAATTTTTTTTATAATTCGTTAAAGCAAGGCAAGTCATAATTGGCAAATCAAAGATATCATCACTCTCGTTTAAAGTAATCTTTGATTGATACAATGAATTTTCAGCAAGTACAATCTGTCATTAACTATTTAACACTGAGTAAAACTCAAATGCTGACTGATGTTTTTCATACCATGCAATTGTTAGACTACTATTCACACACTGAATTGTGTACAGGTTTGACCGTTTGTCTGATCATGACAAGGAGCTTACAACAGGGAATGCTTACTCCTCCATTGCACCTGATTCCACATCTTGTGTTTTAAAGATCCATGCTTGTTCTGCTTTACATTTTTATCGTTTGAATGGACTATTGAGCTTGAATATTGCTCGCTATCTTTATATTTCATTCATGGATTTCGGAATAGGATGTGGACATATTTAATATTCAAAATTTGCTTGTGAATACAAAGAAAAAAATTGAAAAATTATTCTCAAGAACAGCAGAGCAATGATTAGTCATTTATATGTGTGAATGTGCAAGTATTCTTCATAGATCAAAGCAATGTTGTTCAAAACATGATCATTGAAAGTAAAAATGACAACTATAATAATATTAATTGCTCTCAGTTTACTTTACGCCAGAATTACAATTATTTAACAGGAACTAGTAAGCGTTCATTTTTATATTTCTAGAAATTTCTTTCCCATAATGTATTTTTAAAAGAACATCTGAATACACTTTTGTTTGCTAAGAAGAAAACTTTGAAATTGTAGTACACTTTAGTTACCGGTATCAATCATTAATAGTAAACAGCTGTTTGCTACAATGTTTTTGAAAAGTTTAAAGAGATTTAAAAATTTACTTTAAATTAATTATTTGAAACAAGACTTCTACTTATTCTATAACTATCACTTATATACCAAATATTTTTATGTAGAAAATTTAATGGAACTTACTTTGGTTTTTTTCCAGATCACCGAGTTTTAAAGACAATCAATCAAACAAGTATCTAATCAACATAAAGGACAAGGAACATATAGATACGTTATAGCTGTCTAGAACAGTTGGGGTTTTCCAAAGATGATTACATGCACGTGAAACATATTTCATTTTTTAAATTGAAAGTACACCGTGTGAAGTAATAATAAAACATGGTCAGCAGAAAATCATTTATCTTTAATGATTATATGTTTATAAGACTGTTCGTAATCTCCATATTGCTGTAACGAAAATGTATTGTCCGTGTGATTTCAACGGCAGAGGCTGAATTTAAAGTTACTTTCATTGTAAAATGATTATTTATATTTTCGTTTTATTGTACTCGTTATGTATAATGTAAAAAAAAATGTGCCTTCGTTGATTTTTTTTTAAATTGTTACATTCTCTTAAGTTTGTTTTAACACAAGTCTAACCGTAATATTTGTGTGATGTCTCATTTATCTGCAATGATCTGCCCGACATACTTTTATTTTTCGAATTGTCATATGTACTTTTGTTTGTTTCTAAACTTCTCCAATTTTAAGGTACTTACATGTACTATATTTAGCTATAAAAAGTATTGTAATTAATTGCATATTGTGCCTCTTTTTCTTTCATATTAAGTTTATACTAATTAAAAGTTTTGGTCCTATTCACATTTAAAATAAGAATTTAGACAGACATGCATGATTTCATAGTTAGCCGTTTTCTTTCTTTCTTCCTTACCTTATTTTTTTCACTTATACATACCTTCAGCATCTAAAAAATGAAACTTTATATTTCATGTACAATTTGCAATGTTTTAGACTGTTTTTAAGCTTGTGGTGGAAATTTCATTCCAAAATCATCAATTATTTTGTAGCAAATTGTATATTGTTTAAAATATTGTTATGATCAATAAAATATTTAATTTTTGAAGGCTTGTTTTAATTAGACATGGTCTTTTTCTGAGTTCTATCCCCTTCCTTATTTTACATTCCATTGATTCACTACCATGCAATATTTATCACGAAAAAATGAGGGTGCATAAGTGTATTTATGTATATAAAGGAATTTATGTGATCTAAATACGTAATAAATTGCATATTTTTATTAATTACCAATTTGTTTGAAATCATGGGTCCCGAAGGGTTTTCCGGGTTTTATACTTATGCGTCCTCTAGTAACGGCTATTAGCCTTATCCTTATCAGAATAACATTTCGGCTCCAAAATGTGGTTTACAAATTTTACTTAGGTGTGAGTATTTATATTGTGTCACTCATGCAGAGTAGGGTTTTGATTCAAAGATATTGATTTATTGTTCGTTTGCAGATTTGTGTAGAACATTGAAATATCAATTTCTATCTGAATATCTCAGCGAGAAGGTTCTGTATAGAGGATATTCGGGTTGCATTACATTGATATGGTAGGCTGAATCCGGGATGTTTCGCGCCGATTCTGTTTCGCACTGAGATTGTTCGCGCCGGGATGATTCGCGCCGATTTCGGTGCGAAACATCTCCCCTCTTTTTTTTATATTTCATTTTTTTGTAATAAATTAAGATCATTTATTAAAACTTAGATATAATAAACGTGTTGTATACTCAAAATCATGACTTGATAATATGCGATGCCACAGGTAACGGATCGTAAATGTTAATATTGTGCCCGTTTGCTGAGCGTGTGTGTTCAACTATTTAATTGTAATTAGTTGGAGATCAAAAGGTGAGATTTATTTCATTGCAGCAATTATAAAGTCGTACAGCAATTATCTGCGTGAATTTGAAAACATATAATCTGTGTTTTTTGAGAACATGTGTAATAATCCACCAGAATGAGCTAAACGTATTTCTTTATAAATGACCAGTTGTTTTTTCTTTCATCTCTATATATTCTCTGCATCAATATTAATTTACAATAAGTGAACAATCTTTTTTTAAGACATTCAATTATAGTTAAAAAAAGAAAACAAGGGCGTAGCTATGAGACAACTGCCTCATTAGATTTTCAGCACCATCCTCTTAATTTAATACATCACAGGAGTCAGAAAACAATTTATTTCATTCAAAAACATAATTGTTTTCATTTAAAAAATCAATAAAATATAGTTTACTTTCATGTCAATATGTTTCAAAATTCATGAGATCAGGCTCTATAATTTTAAAACCGAAATTAAAGTATTTTTGTGGGAAACTTTTAAAATATACATGGACAAAAAAGAGGGAAGACAAACTTTGCGCACATATAGTAAAATAGAAATTCTGACATAAAATTCGAAAGAATTCATGCTTATGCAGAATGGATATTTGATTTATACAATCTAGATCACCAACTTTTTTTTTTATAGGTGCATAGACACAGATCTGAAGTTAATATATTCTTAAATATTCAAAATTGAAGTTTCAATGAATTTTACATGAAATAAGATTTTTCATTTATTTGAAATGCTGTTAATTAAGTCTCCAAATTTTGGTTGATAGGTTCTCCAAGCCAGCAAATTTACGTTGATAGGCTCCCCAAGCCGGCAATAATTACAGAATTACTTAATTAGATGGCGGTATGCTAAAGTAACTACCATAAACATAATTATCAGAGTGTAAAAATAATATACAATTAGACTAAGTACTTCAAATAAACTTCCACAATTAAAATATAAACTTACATTCTACAAAATTTCAATACTTACATCAATATTCACAGATATCATAATTTATTATTTTGTAATTCTTTTTCAACACGAACGAAATAAATAACATAGATTTCATGTTCTGAGAGCGAAACATCGCGGGGCGAACCATCTCAGCGCGAAATAGAATCGGCGCGAAACATCGCGGTGCGAACCATGCATCGGCGCGAAACATCCCGTTACCGGTAGGCTCGCAGAAGTTGATAAAATTAAACCCGATTTAGTATGTATATACAATAAGGTTCTAATGATTTGTGTAGTCTAGATATTAAGTTATACGACTGGGTTGAGAATGTTTTACTCGCTGAGAAAAATTCGGGGTCGTTTGGTGCACAGTGTAATGTCAACATACCAAATTCTTCATAGTAAACCACCAAGTAAACCTGACAGGTTCTTAATAGAACATGAATCCTGCAATGTTAAGGTGTTGTTGGTATTAACAGGCTTTTTAACGCTAAATCAGGCAGAGAATTTGGTTATCATGGTTAGGATGTAAGATTTTTTTTTCTTTCTTTCATTACTAAAGACTTTGGTCATCAGAAAATGAGAATAAAGTAAACTGTTAAAATGGTGTGCACCAAAAATGAGCACATGGTAATGGTTACACAAACTATTAGAATAGTAACAGGATGTCGGTTGTTTCAGCACTTTAAAGCTTGTAGGCAGATTGTATAACTTTATAACAATTTAGTGTAATATGGTCAAGTTTGGGTAGGTTACAAGTGCATATAATGTTTTTGGTTTCATTAAAGAACTAAGGCCTGTGGATTGTCAGTATACGATAAGATATTAGCACTGCAAATGCATGTAGCTAGAGTAAATTGCCTTTGTTGTTCATCATGTAGCTATTACAGTCAGTCGCTTATTTTGATTTCATTATTTGCCATTGGGTTGGTTGCATAATTACACAGATAAAGCATATTAAGGTATTCATATTGTATATTTATGCTTTGCTTGGTTTTTTTTTGGAACTTGGAAATGCCAATAGTGATTTATTAGCCACATCACGCTCATAATAATAATAATAATAATAAAAAAAAAAGGTTGGTTAATTAATTCTAGAAATCCTCTATGGTTTTATTTGCTTGTATACAGTGTATATATATCCTGTATGGTTTGGTTACCAAGGTAGTCCATATATAGTTGAACAATTTTTGCTATATATATCCTATATGGTTGGATATGCTTGTGCACAGTATGTATATGTATAAATATTTCTGTATGGTTTTGTAACAAATTTGTCCTATATGGTTGGACAATTAATTTTAGCTATCCTATATGGTTGGATATGCTTGTATACAGTGTATATATATATTGAATGGCTTGGTTACCATATTGTCCTATATGGTTGGACGCAGTATATTTATATCCTGTATGGTTGTAATTAATTTGACATATCCTGTATTGTTGGATATGCGTGTATACAGTATATATATATATCCTGTATGGTTTGTTAACCAAGATGTCCTATATGGTTGGACACATTATTTTTAGCTATCCTATATGGTTGGATATGCTTGTACAGCAATATATATCCTGTATGGTTTGGTAACCAACTTGTCCTATATGGTTGGACAATTAATGTTAGCTATCCTATATGGTTGGATATGCTTGTATACAGTGTATATACAGTACAAGCCGTTTAATTTAATACCTGTTTTATATCATAGGCCGTTTTTTATCATAGATATTTAAAACACAAAACCATTTCTTAATAATTCAATGTTAATTTCTTACGTTATTATCATAGGTAAAAGTGTGTACTTCGGTTACTATCATAGAAAAATTTCGTCCGAAATATTTTTTTCACACCTTTTTCACTCTGGAGACAATTAACAAAACAAAAGATAACACCTGTCAACACCTGTGGCCCATGCACTGTCGCTTATCTATACACAATGGCTTGACTGAGGGGGATTAGTCACACTCCAGCGCATTTACCTGAGCGATGACTGGAAGTTTGTTTATTTCACAAAGTACATTACACAACAACAGGAAGCCATCCGCAATCTTATTTTCTTCTTTTGTTTAATTGTTTAATTGTACATTGATAATAAATGTGTTTTACCAAAATGTGTTAATCTAAATTAAGTATCAATTTACCCAAGCTATCTTACGCTTGTTGCCTGATCAATGGTCATAATTAATCACATTTATAAATTGTCCAATTTATTCAGAAGTGATGTGAAATTAACTTTTTAACCAGCCTGTCCAAGCGGCTTTGATTTACATCAGTGTATCAATTAATTTAATTTCAATTAAACGGCACAATTAAGTGTAATTAGCGCTTGGGTGCAAGGAAGAAAATAATTGGGCTTGTGTTTTAGATGAATTTTCCCTGACACTTAATAGCTTGAAGGTTGAAAAAGAATGAGAAAGAATTAAACAATTTTAATTCATGTTCTGTTATGTTGTAACATAATTTTGATACCGTAAATATTGTGTAGTTGGTAAGCAAGTTGTGTTATGCTGAAATGTTGAACTAACATTTTTGTAACTGTTTTTTTCGTTTGTACGTTTTTATATACTTTTTATATTTATTTTCTCTTTTTGTTTTGTGTTTCATTAAAACTGCAACGTAAAAAAAAACAAACGAAATTATTAATAGATTGAATTGATCATAGAACCTAAAAACGAAAGTAGATCAAAATGAAAGTTAACAAGATGGATGCCAAGACATCTAGAAGATTGAGTTCGGAGTTTATTAAGCTTCAGGAAAGTGAATTTATTTATACAAAATGTTGAAACAGTAAGTAAAAAAAGTAAAATGATATGTTAGCTAACTTGTTTTTCAAAATAAACCTAAAAATATGAAATTAATACTATAATACTTATTTAATATAGTGTAAAAACGGCAGGCATGTTATTGATCAAGTCATGTTCATGTCAGACCTCGGAGATGAATTTCAGCTGTCTATGGTTATAATCATAGTCGGTTATTATAAAGTTTTGGCCTGACAAATAAGCTATGATAATAAACGGCTTGTACTGTATATTGAATGGTTTGGTTACCATATTGTCCTATATGGTTGGACGCAGTATATTTATATCCTGTATGGTTGTAATTAATTTGACATATCCTGTATGGTTGGATATGCGTGTATACAGTATATATATATATCCTGTATGGTTTGGTAACCAAGATGTCCTATATGGTTGGACAATTATTTTTAGCTATCCTATATGGTTGGATATGCTTGTACTTCAATATATATCCTGTATGG